ATATATATATATATATATAACTTTTTGATGTTAAAATGCAGAGCCAATCCAAGGGTCCATGAGGCCAACGAACACACATTGCAGTGTGTTCAATTAGATGTGGGAGTAATGTCACACCTGTGTCACACTTGCAAGTTGCTAACATCGTGGTGCTAACCGTTACTATCACAACAAAGAACTAACAATTAATATATTCTGGATTCAAACATTAAAGGGACATTGACAAATAAATAACCAAAGGAGCAGAATGTCTCAGATTTCCTAATAAGCAACTGAACTTTTACTACGTTTCATGTGTGTAGGGTAAATATTTGGTACTAAACTTCAGTGTCCATACATGTTTGACACATTATTCATTGTTATCTTGATTCTGAATCATGTTTGGGCCCGTTTACTCTTACAAATTATGGTCCAGAATAAAAAGAAAATAACAGAGTCCCTGCTGGTTGATAGTTGTTGGAGTCATTTAACCACATTTAATTGCAGCAAAATAGGTTTGATGCTCGGCCGATAAGAAATGTCCTTCAGAACATAGAGATGTCATTATGACATGACTAGAACTGCAAATGTATGAATAAAACAAAAGGGCTGAATTGCTAATGGGTCGCTGTTACCCCATTATTCAAACTATTCACTAAAATAAGATGCTACCTAATCATTTAGTCTTTAGAGAACCACTGATTTATAGCGACTGCTCCATCACACACACAATGTGATGTCACTTCTGGGCCTCATTCAAAAAGCCAAGAAGAATAAACATGAATGCTGTCAATTATAGTTTGTAAAGAAAAATCTAAATCAGCTAAAATGAACATTATCAGCTCAAAGCCATACGACAAAGCAGAGTTAGAAATGAGCCACAGGTCTCCAACCATTGCCTTTCTGCTTTGTACTTTTTTTTCTCTTAATGAACGTTCTTATTTACTGCTCTGCATATGCATCTTCACTTTGACATTTGCCTGCAGGCTGAAGCCTGTTAAACCTCCCACACATTTGAAGTAAGCAGATCTACATTCCTTCAAGATCACTGAGTCAACAGTGAATCATAATGGAACACTTCATTTACTGCAGATAAAAGCCAGATGCCAGTGCCTAGCATCAGAGTTACGAGTGACAGTTAAAGTCCTGCTTCGGATTACAAACAGCCAGCTTGGAAGAACGCAGAGCTGAAAAAGCATCACCTTAGTGGTTGCATGCCACGCTGTTGGATCCCAAAACCACATAATTTTACTATCAAGTTTACTGCTAATGTTTTTATTATTATTATTATTTACCAGTTTTTCTTGTCCTAGTTAAATTTTTAGCAGAATAATATTGTGCTTGACACAAGAATCCAGTTGGTGCTCTAGAGTCTGAAATCCTATAAACATCATTCTGCTGGATCCTATGTAAAATACCCATAACGATATACAATTTCAGATATATTTTTTGATATTTTATGCATTACTTATTTATAAAAATAAAAAAAAAAGTGAATGAAAATGAATTAGACTTACTGAACATCCACTTCAAAGCTGGATGGTATGTACGTAGGATGCGTCAGGTGCCAGCTGCAGTAGAAACCTTTAGGGTAGGTGTTGGACCGACAGGTGACTTTGGGCTCCTGAGGGGGAACTACACAAAGCAGAAACAAAGGAGCACAGGAAAGGTTAACAAAAAATACATTTTTAAGCAATATGCACAGTTTGAGGCATGTGAGGGGAAAAAAAACACAGCAGAAGAAGAGATCTAATCGAAAATGCATTAATCAAATACAAAGCAGCTACGGCTAATTAAACATTACTTTATTGCATAATTCATTCTTTGATCTAATTTATTTTTTTATTAAAAATGCCACAGCTTCTTCGTTTGAATTAAGCTGTGTCTTTGGTACATGTTATTAGAGATGATTTCACTTTATTTAACTTCCAATGCTGGCACATTTTCTTGCACTGTGCATCCATTTTTAATATCAAATCAATTAAAGTTTTATGAGGATGTTGATGAAAGAAAGGAAAAGCTTAATCGTGTGCCTAATTAAAATTTATATGTGCAGTCTCAAATCCTTTTACAGTTCCATATACTTTCTATAAACCTTAAGCTCACACATAAAAAAAATGTTTTGAGAAAGCCTCCTGGACCTGATGTGTCGTTATCTATGAGTGTGCAGAAAGTATTGTATTATGCTTTTCTTTTTCAGCATTAAAGCAGCTTTATGACTGAAACTTTATTTATCTTAAATAATTTTTATAATAACTATTTTCTTAAGATGCTGGATATTTTGTAAAGTGACAATTAGCTGTGCAGCTGCTGGAGAAATCTTTACGTCAATATGTCATACTTAATAATTTGACAACAGCATACATTTTAAGGGGAAGTTTTGAAGAGACAGGGAGAATAACTCAAAGTTAAAAACGTAAGGTACATGTAGAGAATGGAGGACAATCAATCTGATAAATCCATAATTGCCGCGATGTTTTGCCTAAATTTGTTCAGCAAACGTCCCACAACCAATTATCCCTATTTTGTTCATTAGTACTCTAATATATTTACTCAACAAAGGAGCAGAAACTGTGCTTGATCGAGTTATTTGTAGCATTTACTGAAAACAGCCCCTTCAAGCTACACTTGGCCAAACACACACTTACAACACACATCCACACATAAAAGGTTTGCTTAATTGGCTGCTATGGGGTCATTTGACTGTCGCACACAATCAACTGCGTCTTAGCGGTCACCACAGCAACTAATTAGCCTGTCAATAATAGATAATAATGGATACCAGGGACGGTATCCAATCGCGCTCAATTAATCACAGAGACTAATTGGGGCCATCTCAATCAATTGGCTTTTCATCTGAGAGCTTCAGTCAAAGTCACACTAAAGCACACTGTCGCACACAAGAATATCACCGCAGACAATTACTGTCGGAGTGTGGCAACACATACACTGCTCCTTCAGGCTCTGTAGAGTTAGTGGCAATCAGTCAAACCATCTTATTATCTTTGGAGAAAAGGAAAGCAATGAATGACTGGTTAAGGAATTATTAACAGCAATGAGGTCAAGAAAACCAAAAGGGGGAAAAATGTGTATAGGTGTGTTAAGAAAGAAACAACGTATATGAAATAAAAAAAAAGAAGATAAACGGAAATATTTCCAAACTAGCATCAACACTGCAGCTACTTTCAAAACGAAGTTGGATCAAAAAGCAATTTAATATTTATTATGCTATTAGCATAGAGCTAATTCACAACAAAAGTCATCTCAAGACACTTTACAAAAAAAAAAACAAAAAAACACTTCAATTCAATCACACAGTTGATCCTAGTTACCAAACAGTACAGTATGCTCAATTGATTATTCAAAGCAGTTGTTAGCTTTAAGAGCTTCTTAAAAGATCAAGTCTGTAAAAAGCCAGTAGAGAAAACTTGACAGAAGCAGAGCTCAAAGGGTTCGTCGCAATGAAAAAAACAGGGCATTTAAGTTATTTTAAGTGACATGTCATGGTTTTTAGTGCCAGATGAGCTGGTCTGAGTACGTCAGAAGCTGCAGATTTAAATCGATTTTCACTCACAACTCTTAGATGTACACAGAATGGCAGAATGGAAACATATGCAGTGGGCAGCAGTTTTTTTTTTTGGATAAAAATGACTTTTTTGATCTCAATGGTCAGAGGAGAACACCTAGATGACACTACTATCGTCCAACAAACTGGACAATAGTAGATTAGAGAAAACATTGTCTGGTCAGGCAAATTTTGTTTTCAGCTTTGAGATCCAGATGACACCTTCAAAGTTTGGTGCAAGAAACATGAACAAATTGGCCGTCTGGCTTTGTTTCAGCAGTTATTCTGTTGGTGGTTATGGATATTGGACACACCAGTCATTTAATTGGTTAATACCAAGGTACCTAATAAAGTGGCAATGTGTGTAACAAAAAAGGTTACTATTATTTGACTTATTGAGCTATTTTCCAACATACAATGGTGGTAAATGAAACTGCCAAACCAGTGCAAGAAAGGTAGAATAAGGACATTTTAAAAAGAGGAGAAAAAAGGAGGGATATTGAAAGCTGAAACATGAGAGCAAAATAAAAGTTGGGGGGGGAAAACAGACACAAAGGGAAGCATATCTGAAAAGACGAAAGGAAAAAGGGACAGAGCCAAAACAGCACTTACTTCAAATAAGACAAATGTGCTTTTAAAAGTTTTTTTTTTGTGTGTGTGTGTGTGTTAGACAAAGACAAATGCATGGATATGCACAAAAAAACACCTGCTGCACAAATGCGTCAGTTACTTGAAAATATCAAAAGCTGTCCACACACACAGGGGAAATAGATATTAAACAGAGAGCTGGAAACAACAAGGGAGAACACACCAGTTGGATAAAACCCCCCCCCAAAAAAACATGAGAACAAAGACAACATGAATATTAAAGCCCATGAAACAATAATTCAAATTAAAATTACATAGTGCAGGTTTCGACCTCTTTTGTGAACTGTGCTGACATATTACCTGAATCAATGGCACACAGGACACCGCTCATGAATAAATGTTATTTGAATTAGCCTACTTTTATCATCTGGTTTGGATTGCGGTATCAAATGGGATTGTGAAGATGTTTTTTGTTAGCCTCATGAAACCTACACCTGCACATGTGCACACGCGCACATGCACACGAGGCTGTTCGGGTTACTTTTAAGTGGTAATAGGTTACAGACTGTGGCTCATAAATGATAATAAGGCTTAAAAAAGATGGGGGAAGGTAGAACGGGCACATATGCATGCAAATCTTTTCACATCTTTTTAAAATTGGTAGCTATGTCATTTTTTTATGAATAAGTGTCTAATATAAAATAAAGCTGTAACGTGAACACTGGAAGTTCTGTTTCAATTTTGCTTTACTTTGAATAGTGTCCATTTATTTAGCAAATTGTCACAAAGGGAGGAGATTAAGCCTAGCAAAGATGAGCGAAGCTGGAGGATTTTATTGACTGCATTTTAGGGGATTGTTGCCTTTCCAATTTTCCTATTCCTGAGGCTCAAATTAGGGAAGGTTTTAGAAATGGGAGACTCAAACCATATATTGACAATGTACCCCTAATAAACTTCTCATGATCTCTTTATTTGTAGCTTCCAAGTAACCAGATTTTCTTGTGATCTTTGACAAATGCCCTAACCAATGGCTATCTAAAAGTAGTTTAACATTACTGTGTTGACACAACATTGTTTTTCTTTCTTTTCTTGTAGCAATGATTCACAGGTCATAGCTGGGGAAATGAAAATTAAACACTTTCAGAAGTTCATAGGGAAACTTTCCAAGGAAAATACAGTGGAAGGAAAGTATTAATAAATCTTTTTTTTTCCCCACTGAAAGTAGAGATATGATCGTATCTCTAAATGTGTTGTCTCTCCAGTGAGTGCATAAGAATTCATACCCTTTGAAACTGTTTAGCTATATTTTACTCCAATATTTTCACAAAGTTGTTCATACATTTAAAGTAAAAGGAAAGTGATGCGTTATTTATTTATTATTTTTTTTGCAAATAAAAATCAACAAAATAAATTTACATGTACCCAAAAAGAGGGGGTTGAGTACATAAATTCCACTAAATGCATTGCAGTTTAAGTCTAGGACTTGACAAAATAGCAAAAAGATCAAGGAATATCTTTGTAAGGCATGTCTATTTTGTTTTAAATAAGAGAAGGGCGTTTAGTTAAATCCTCTCCTCCTTAAATGAGCATACATTTTAAATAAGCAGACATGCTGAACACATAATAAGAACAAGGAACAACATTTGCTGAAGCCGGAGAATAACACAGACGTTCTTCGTATACACGGATTACATTGCATGATCAAAGTCAGGCTGTAATTAACCTCAGAGGAATGTATTTTTTTCTCCCCCCGCCGCTACATAATAACATCAGCCAACAGCTTCTTATCATTCTCTCTTTCTTTCCAAACTTTCTCTTCCTCTCTGCCATTAATCCAAACCTGTCACACAAAAAGGATTTGTTTTTTTTTTTTTTTTTTTTGGCACAGAGGGGTGTATACAAACATACACACTCACAAGTCAAGAAAAGTGATGAAAGACAATGACATCCAGCAACCTGGTTGCTAGGATGCAGACAGAGTAGTAATTGCTATTTAGTTGTGTTGGTAGCCTCCCTGCTGCTTTGTTTCTTGAGTGTGTGTGTGTGCATATTAATTTATCTCTAGCATCGAGAGTGTTTGTTAGCGGTGAATTCTCTTGACATTGTAGTAAAGACAGATGCATTCTTCTTCTTGATTGAAACTTCTCTTAATTGATCAACTTTGTAATGAAAATAAGATTTATCGCATCAACAGAAGCGAAACATTACTACTTTTCCCAAACCCATCATGGATAATACTTCTCACTTATGTTTCCCTTGACTGAATTTTTGCATGTGGAGTCAATTTAACTTTGACTAACACGGTTAAGCGTGCGATAAACAAGCCGTGGATGTTTCTAACAACTAACGTATTCACCTATCAGTCCATTTATCTACTGTGTGCATCCTTTAATGTTTGATTCGGTGCTTTGTTCTTCTTAAAGATTACTGGATCCACTTGAGCCTGTGCTGCGTAACTCATTTAGGCACACGGCTCCACTCT